TTTGAATGACTTAATCGCGATCAGCGGTGTGACATTTGAGTTCATCTCATCTCATCACTTCGCTCGAGAGCAAAGTTTTATTCTTATGGAATCCCAGTATTGACGAAGAACCTGATACTGCAATAGTAGCCTTCTTTATAACATGAAATAAATTGCACTACGTGAACGATGAAATTCATTAAGGATCACTGCCGGCATTATGCGTTTTTTTTGAACTTATTTTCTAAACTTGTTTCCTAGCGAAAAATGTTTGCTCGATCGTATTAGAATTCATAGTAGACGCTTAGTTTTTGCATCATAAAAATTGAAAATCAAGGTCTTAGTTATTTCAATAATTGTTTAAACATATTTAAATATTAAACATTATATCGTTGTATTTGGAGAGAAAAGTTTGTAAAATTATTACAGTTTTTTCATCATAAAAATTAATACAAAATCAAGATACTAGTTATTTCAATAATTGTTTAAACATGTTAAATATTATATCGTTATATTTGAAGAAAAAAGTTTGTAGAATTATTTCCCGTAATCAAGGATATTCTAAATACTGTCCTTTGGATATTCTATAGATTATCTCCATTATGCGCAACTTTACACTACTTTAAAATTTCTTATAAACGCATAAAAAATAAAAAGTTTAATTATAAGCAATCGAAATGAATTTCTCCTATCGAACTACTACAAATAGATTGCGAATTTTTAAGCAAATTTATTTTTATAAATCAAATTTAGATAAAAGAAATTAGATTAATTTCTTTACTATGTATTATATACATAAAACATTGCACTTTTGGTATTTTATGTATTTTTGCATATTATACGCATTCTGTTCATTTTTGTATTTTCAAATTTCTCATAAATACATAAAAATTTGCAGTATAAATATGAGTTCGAAAATATGGGTTTTATTTATATGGGTATAAATATTCTTTCACGAATAACTGAAATAAATTTCCATCATCAATAATGATTATTAGCGAGGAACAAAAATTAATTGTTATTTGTAACCAAAAACACAGTCAAAAAAATAATTACAAAATAATTATTATCCTATGATTTGTTTTATTTTGCTTATTATAGTTATGGTCTCTACAAAACTCTAAGTACAAGCACGAACATTTTACGTACATTTATTAGTTTAAATTAATAAAACAATAAGTCTAGTTTACTACAAAAATATTTTGTCACATGCTTGAATTACTTTTTCAACTATAAGAAATATCTCTTGAAGTGCAATTTTTTGGGAAAGTACAATACGTTCTTCTTTAATTCATAAAATATATATCATAAATGTTTTTGATGAATATTTTACTATTGTATATTCTATGTATGTAATTTTATGTATAGATATCTAAGTTTCTTATTATTTACTAAATCTTTAAAAATGAGTATCAATAAAATTGTGTTCAAAATTCATTGGCTGATTACATTCCATTTGTGCCCTATCTTGGTGCTTTTACAAAATCTACAATTTCCTTACTCATAAGTTATTCA